GCAGTTTTTTCTTTTCATTTTAACAGAAGCTTGAAGTTTCCTGTGGTGGAGAAACCATAATTTGAATCATTTGTGTCTGATTCAGTGATAGGAGAGTTTCTGTCCTCTCATTGTCAGAGTGCACTATATACATGCAGCCTTAGTTATATTTGTGTAGTTTGAGATTTTCAAACAGCACTGTGCAAACAATATTATTAGCAATCTTTTCGTGTCTCTTGAGTTTCTTTTGAAAAGCATTATATGGAATGAATGTATTATAATAAACCTGTTACCTCTTGAGAAACTCTTCTCCCTGCCCATTGCCCCCCAAAATGATCCACCATCTCACCAATCCAGCTGTGATGTTTTTAACATAGTTTCCAGTTTAGTAACACTCAAATCAACAGGCCACAAACCAAGATGCCCAGGAAAGTGCAAAAATGAAACTTGCCCCTGTAAACCCCTCAGAGCTGTCAGCTCTGGAAGCACTGTGTCATTACCTCAACTTCCTGTCTTCTAAAGGTTCATTCACCTCCTGCATCTTTTGGATTTTCCCTCTGTGTCCAACCTACAGAGCCCTCCTGCTGACACAACCTACTCTGACATGTTTGTTCCAACTCATCTGTAAAATGGCAGATCAAAAACCTGTTGTATGTCACTTTTAATTTCCTTTCTTCCCACAGAAGAGTTTAGAGGCGCTTTGTCTTAGACTAGCATCACCCCTCCCCCTTCTGTGATTGACAAGTGGAAGCAGCGGTGGCATCAGATGGTTTGATGGTTGAGGATGGGTGAGGAGGGTAAGGGGGGGGTAAGGAGGGAAGAGGGCGCTACAGAGCAGGCTCAGGGGCACCCGCTCCATTGTTGATGCTCCCCATGGTTCCCTCTGTCTGTCTCCAGTCTGTAGCTCCAGCACTCTGAAGCAAAACAGAGCACTCACCAAAACAGTTGTGGAAGTTTCATTGGGCGTTTAAAGCTGTTCTGAAGTATTGTAAAGAGGGTTGGGTTTGCTCCTTTGTCTAACATGGTAACGTGATTTATTGTGAATCACACTTCACTAACTGTGTTATTCAGGTTAATCCAATCTGAGCAGGGTGAATGTGCAAGTTTGGAAAGGAGCTACAGGTGGAACAGTGGTACACATTACTCAAATACACACAGGTTTTTTGGGTTTGTTTACATGTCCTTTAGGAATTATAATGTTTTTAGGTGATATTCTGGTTACCTCTTAGTAAAGTAACCTCTAAGTAAATGAGAGATGCAGCCAGTCTCCTGTATGCTTAATGTTTCGACTCACACAGTCATTAATCCCACCTATGTGTTGTGCTTGTCCATCAGCCGTCTGACTCCTCATGACATTGGCATTTGACACTGTAATAAAAGTGCTGTTGGTCTGGTGGAAAACCGCACTAGAGAGTTTTCATTCATCCACACTGCTCCTTCCTGTTGTCAGTGAGCAAATGGGCTCCGCGCCTGCAGGCTCTTAACTGCTGAGCTGTGTCAGCTTGTGTTAAGGGCAGGTGTGCTCCCAACTATTCAGCCCTCTTCAGCCATGACTGTAGATTAGCCATCATTCAATACTAGAACCAGTCATCAAGAGTCTATGGAGCAATGAGTCAGCGACGTTGACGTGTGACTGTGGTAATCTGATGAGGACGCAAACCCTTTCCTGTTGTTTGTCATGTGGCGGGAGCTGGGGCCAGAGGCTGTTGTCAGATGATGGCTCCTGGAGGAACCATGTGTGAGATGAAAGTGGGGGCGGGGAGTGAGAAATAAAGAAAGAAGAGCCTTTACACAACAAACAGTCGACCCCTCCCCCGTCACAGAGCCTCACATCCTCCAACTGCTACTGAGATGGAGCCCACAGGAGCTGTTAGCGCCTGGAGAGAAGGAGGGAGAGGGAAGTGTGTGCCCAGAGGAAGCCCCGCACCAAGTGGATACGACACAACCTTGAACACTGACGTCTTTATCTGCGCCTTTCTTATGTTAGCGGATGATTGCACTGCCCACTGGGAATGACACGTTCAACTTTTATCTTCAAATACATATGTTCTGTCAAAAAAAATTTATAAATTGTGCTATTTGTTGACCATGTTCCAGTTCTGTCCTCTAACATGATATCTGGTGGTGGCTTAGCATTGTAGTATCATTTTGTTATATAATAATGCCCGTGAAGCCAGTCTTCTGCTCATTAGCTGTGAGATATTTTGTATTCTTGTATTCTTCTTGCTTGTTTGCATCGTATCCTGTCTGATTAGAGAAGTGCTCTCTTGTTTTTAGTAGAATCGTGCACAGAATGGTTGCTGCAGATGTTACATGTAAAGCAGGATGTGTAGTGACACAAGTGTGAGACCTCCTGAGGCTGGCTGACGACAGCGGCTGTGGCCATGACAGTCCTTTCACTGCGCCTTGTCTCACCCAGTCATGTTTCTCTAAGAACTACTCTCTTCAGTGTGCTGCTCTGTTGATTGTGACAATCTTCTGATTTATACACAGTATTCTGAGGCTTATCACTTCACCTACTGCCCTTATCAGTTTGGACTATTGATCATTAATGAAAGCGGCCCAAGTGCTGCTCTGTACCTTGTTTATCCTCAGTGCATTTGTGAAATCTTTCTAAAGATTGTTTGATGTCTTTACACAGAAGTGTGGATGGATATAGATAGGGCATGGACAGCAGATGCATTCCTCTACCATCTGACACTCTTGACTGGTGCTGTTAATCCTGCTCCATTCTGAATTGGAGTCTTCCTCCATAACCCTCTGACTCTGAGCTGTCCCTCTCAGCTCTGTCCACTGGCCCTGTCCTGCACTGATCAAAGTGCAGTGTCTCTGTGGACACGCTCCCTGCAGTTTAGCCCAGGCTGATAGGGAGCAGAAGGGCCAGTGTGACATGGCCCTCAGGGGAACCTTTTCTCACAGATTTGACTCTGACACACAAGCCTTTCACAAACACTTAGTACGGGTGTGTTATTCCTCATTTGTCCAAGAATGATCCATGGTAGTAAAGATTTAAATGCTAGTCACCTGGACACTGTTTTTGAAATCGAGACATTTGAAAACCTACCACTTTAAGAAACACCACTTTCTTCATCAGTCATTTTATGTTCCTCACTATGGATTATTAAATCTGTACAAAATAAACAGAGAAATTAGAATGTCTTGTTAGCATTTCATCATTATACATTGTCTTGGTTGTTTCCTACTGACTTGAGGTCATGATTTTTATGTTGGCATAGTGCTTGTCTTTATGTGTAAATAATGTGAGAGAAAACATTTATCAAATTGATATCAAAGTGAAGAGATGACCTGTGCAGAATATCCCATTATGTATCCACCATCCTATTATAACTCCAGTACATTCTGCCACATGTACCTGGTCTTTGCCTCATAATTACAGCAGGCTGATTAAAAGGAGTAATGGTTTGTTCTGTTTGAGTCATGTGGCAGATTTCTATCAGCACTGGCTAAACCCGCTCTTCTAGCATGAGTTTACTGCGCACACTCCAGTCTGACCTCGAGCAGAAACATCCTTCTCATCCTGTTTTTCCACTCTGAGCCTTGTGTCTGTGCCTCTCCTTTTCTCTGCCTTTCGTCACCGCTGACTGTTGGCTTTTCACGAGGGGTGTGTGCTGCTGACCTCTGGTGACCTCAAGAACTTCTAGGTTGAAGTTAAGTCATACTGGAGTTAGGCCTGTCACAATAACAAATCCTGAAGTGTGACATATTGCTGAAGTAAATATAGATGAATTTATGCCACTGACACAATAACCCATGAGAAGTTTTATGCCAAAAAAAACCTATTGGTATTGTTAAAAAAAAAAAAATCATTAGCTGCCATGAATAGACAGTAGAATGAAACCCTTTAGTACTTAGTTTGCATCTGTAGTGGGTCATAGAAATAATTCAACATTTTATGGCTTAAATCTTATCATATAGCCAAAAAATAACCAAAAATGACCCAGAAGTGCAAAGAAAAAGTACACACAATAAATACTGACCGAAAAAAAAATAATTGTTCCAGCCTTCCTGTACTGAATAATAAGTCGATATAGTAATCATCGTGACGGGTCTAACTGGAGTTGACCCACCTCTTGTATATAGTCGAGATATATTTTGTATTACTAAATTTCTATAGTTTATTTTTACTTGTACATAGATTTATATAATTATGGCTTGTTTGACACCGGTCTCTTGCTATTTTTGACACTTATTTAGAATTTATTATTATCAATTGTATTGTTGTTCTTTGTAATTAATATATAATAATAATAATTTGTAATTATATCATGTTGTATTGTGTGAGCTACTGTGTCCCAATAATTTTAAATTAATAAAACTTTGGACTAAATCGTAAAGCTCTTTCTATTTAGCTGTCACTTTTATAAAAAATCAAACACTACAAGTGTTGTGTTTAGAAATTATTATAAATTCCAAAATCCTACATAGTGGCTCTTTAAGAAGTAAGCAAGACTAAAACAACACAATGTACACTGTTGTCTGAGTTGTTGAAATAAGGGCTCTTTTCTTTTATAAAGCTGCTGCAGATTGCTCCTCTAGTCAAACTCATTACCAGGCCTGTCATAATAACACATTTTGAAGTACAATATATAGTGTAAGAAAATATAGACGATAAACTATAATCTTGAAATTGTTTTATGCCACTGACAAAATCATAAAGCAGAATTATCCCTAAAAATGATCACATATGTACAATATGGTTAAAAAATACAAACTACAATAAATAAATGGCTGAATGACTGTAGGATTTTGTGTCTATAATGAGTCATAGAAGTTATTTATTCAACTCTCTGAAGATCAAATCTAATACAACAGAAAAATAACAAACTAATATAAAGAAAAAGTACCATGATAAATATTGACTTCCAGAAATTATCGTTCCATCTGTCAGATATATATTGATAAGTCGATATAGCAATTATTGTGACAGGCCTACTTATTACTCCTAAAAATAATCAGTTATAATGAAGTCTAACCCTGTGTCGTCTTTCTGTTGTGTACAGGAGTTGGAGAAGGCCCTCTCGGAGCAGGATGTGGACTTCCTTGGAGATCTCATTGCTTGTTTGCTGCAGGGATGCTATCAGCGGAGAGATATCACGTAAGACCAAAACACTTTTGAAACCGTTTAGCATAGTGTGTATTTAACTGTATGTGCATTAATCAAGTAATCCAGGTTACACCCAATAAAAGCTAATACATAATTGAAAATAAAACAATTATTTACACTAGTGCATTGTTTACACATGTACATGTTTCTGTAAATGAATTAAAATAAATAAATTATGTTCATATCCAACTGAAATGACATTAAAAATAAAAGTTATTACTTTTCTGGGAAGTATTAGTCAGATGCTGATGTGGCTCACTGACGAGTCACAGCGCTGTCAGCATGTCCTCTTGGTGCATGAGGACATCATCACTACAATCAACCATTTCCCCCAATAACAATAGAGGAACTGTATGTTTTGTAGTTTTGTTTTGTTCACACAAACCGCCCTCAGTACAATCATCCTATAGTTGTGTAGTAGAGTCTGGACTTGAGTTGCTGTTGCTAACAGAGTACAGCCGGCTTTATTGGACTGGACAGGCGCTGGCATCCTGGGGGTGGCAGCTCAGTACTGGCCTTTCACAGATCTGCCCTTTTCATCCACACGCGTTAAACGCTCTGCCGGAGCGGGCCCCAGAAGGGAGGGCTGCCGTCGAGGAATACAGGGGCAGAAAGAGCAGAACGGAGGGGGCAGAGGAGGGAGCCTGCAGCTGTCTGTGTGAAAAGTGCTCACTGCTCTTTCAAGATAAGCCATTTTTTCTGTCCTCCTCTTTGTACGGCTGCATAGATGGTAACCCCTGCCCCAAGCCCTTGTTCTGTTCAGCTGGGCTGGAACTGAACGGTACAGATTAATCAGCAAGGCCTAAACCGGAACCAACATTTGTTTGGTCACTAAGACACACACTCTTTTTCACAACTTCATTTATACCTTCACTTTTTGTACTTTGCAATTTTTAGGGCCCAGAGGGAGGTGAGACATTGTGTTTTATGGCATACTATGTAAAAATGAAATGTCATAAAAAAGGCAAAACAGCAACACATTGTTGAAACACACAATATGGTAAAGTCTGTCCTCCTTTGTCCTCCTCAGGTCTCATGGATATAGCAGTTACCTGAATGACATCATCAGCTACAGGTGGGAACTAGAAGAAGGGAAGCCCAACCCCCTCCACGACAGTTCTTTTGAGGGCCTGCCTGTCCGCACTCAGGTGGAGCTGTTACACCGCCTCTGTGACTATCGCATGGACGCTGCTGATGTTTTTGACCTACTCAAGGTACAGGCTCAGCCTCAGGAGCACACAGCTACTGGGATTTAGCTATTTGTGTTCTCTCAGATGACTCTGGTTATGGCAGTGTGGAGTGTAGCACTGGAGTCAACCATAGACAAATATTTTGTCATTAAAAAGGCATCTAGGTGATGGGATTAACGTAAGGGTTATAATACCTTTCTTTCAATATCAAGCTTTGGCAGGTCATGATGAGTTGTAGAGAAGCCTCCCCAATGCTCAAGACACAAGTGTGTGTTTATATGATATTGTTCTACTGAATTTGTTCTTGAACATGAAGATGTACTTCAAATATAATTATTCAGATTCCTAGAAATGGGTATAGGGTATAGTGTTAGTTTAATCAATAAAATAATAGAGCTGTAAGCATCCAGGTTTTCAAATGTGATAAAAATATGCACATCTCACTGATTCAGCAGCCACCTTCTACTAGTTGGGCTTTTTTAAGCTTGGTCACATGTTGCTGTCTGAAAATCGGGCAACCCTGCAGCTGACTGCCAAAGTGAAATAATAAAATCAGTCTAATGTTCAAGGTTTTACCAACACTAATGCAGTGTCATTAGTTAATGTTTTACTGAATAAGCTGTGCCCTTTTCTGCCATTTTAGTTTGTTGTTTATTTGTAGATTACAATATATTTCTACCCAGTCACCTAAAACAAATTGTGTTTGTATTCTGTACTTTACTTTAGAAACTTTGATTGAAATATCCACTAAGCTGAAATGAATGTATCACATGTATAACATTTGCTGACTTTCCTACAGGGCCTGGATGCTGACAGTCTGAGAGTCGAACCACTGGGGCAAGATGGAGATGGAGCCCTCTACTGGTATTTTTATGGTACCCGCATGTACAAAGAAGAGCCTCTCAGAAGAAAGTGTGAAAAGGGCAGGTAATTACTACTGTTTGGTGTGTTATCTTCTAAACTCTCGGTAAACTCTTGGGCATGTGGTAATTGGTGTTCTGACACTTTTTACTGCGCGTTAATTAGAGGAGCTACTTGTTACTGTAAAAGGGTGTCATTTTGAAAAGCTTCCTCAGTGTTGTGCTGTTTTTGGGACAGTGAGAGCCCTGCTTCTACATCATCTGCCTCCACATCGTCTGCCTCAACAACATCAGAGAAAAAGCGGAGAGGAAGACCAAAGAAGAGACAATTTGATGATCTTCAGCAAAGGTTTACAACCACTTTATTGATGTTAACAAGATAATACAAGATGGAACATAACTTTTAAAAATGTAATTCACTGAAAGTTGTTTCTTGTTTGTATTTTAACAACTACTTTTTTATTTAGTGATACAGAAAGTGAAGGGAAATTCGACATCGATCTACCGGATTCCTCCCCTGTAAGACTTGAATATAAAAGTAAGATTGTGCTTTTTTTTTCCTTACCTGTGCTGGTCTTAGATTTACAGTAATAAAGACTAATACTTGGAATCTCCCATTAGCTGACTGTAAACGTGGGGCCTGGTCACTTGTGTGTGATACTGAGGAGCAGTGGGTCAGTCTGGCAGACAGTTTTAAGGACAAGAGCTCCTCACGGGACCGTCACCTTCACCGCGTCATCACCCATAACTTCCTCCCCGAGATCAGCAACATGATCGAGCACAAGGTCACACACACTCTTTGTAAAGGATTTTTATCACTGACTTCCTTTAGGGATTATTGTAGGGTTTGGCATTAATTATAGTATCTAGTGTGTAGGGAAAAGGTTGTCTTTTTGTCAACCAGAAACCAGAAAATTTACTCTTTAAGCCATGTTATAATGCTGTTACCTCATGAAGAACATACCTGGAGTTGTGCTTTGTTTCATTCATACTTGCAAAGCAAGTTCAAAGCTCATAATGCTCTGTTCCACCTTGTGATGGCAATTGGAAATTTTGGGGCTAAAATGATCCAAACGATTCCATTGAAGCTGTACACAGTGGAGCGTTTTGTATAACCACATGACATCACAAGGTGGAACAGGGTGTTTTTAGTTTGAGAGAAGAACACAGCCTAAAGCCCGCCACACATTACAGGAGAATTTGCCCGATTTTAGCTGCAGTTTGTGGAGGCGTGACCTGACTTTGTGTCCTTGTGTGTGATTTTGAAGACGCTGCTCTCCTTGCGTGTGTGTGTGGTGTCAGTGTGACTCTCAGCTGCTCGGTCACATCATAACCACTAAACATCAGCAACACTATGGTAACATCCAATAAAACAGAGCGTCAGGGGAAGACAGAGTGACAGACACAGAGGCACAAGATACAAACTCACGAAATAGTGAAAATAATGAGGTGACTTTATTACTCACCTCTCTTAAAGTTGTAAAGTTAAACTGCAGCATCTTATCCACATTATCCATAGAAATTGCCCTCAAATAATAACACCCAGTCCAAAAAACTCTGCTATGAATCCAGTTTGAGGTGTTCTTTAAAAGTAAAAAGAGGGTAATTCCTCATGTGTGTCTGTTTACATCCACACAGCGCACAGATCAAGGTAAAGCTGCAGGTTAGCGATGGTGACTCTAACTCCTCTGTATTTTATCACCAGCCTTCTGTGCATTAAATTGAATGTATATGAAGTACTACACCACATTTCATAAATAATAAAACACAGTTTTGACTTGTGTCCAAACTAGAAGTGCAGCGCTCTGATCTTTTGAACAATTAAGAGTCTCAGTGAGTGGTTTTAGTGTAGTCAGGAAACAGCTGACGTGATCATACTCACAGCTTTGTAGCCTGTGATATGTAGCCATATCCCGCTGCAGTCTTTGTGATTAGAGATTTAAAATCCCATAAGATTCTCCTCGTGTCTGGTGTGCATGTTTTGTCGCATGTTTGAAGACTGAAAAATCCAAACATGTGTGAATGAAACAAAACACAACGCCAGGTATGTTTTTGATGAAGAAACAATGTAACATATAGCTTAATATGGACCCCTTAACTAATCTTTGAATGAGTGTAATTTTTAAGATGGGGATCCTTTGAATCAGTGCTCATGTGTACAGCCATTTCTCTGCTGTCAGCCTTCATTGGACAGGGCACTCACCTTGAGGCAGATGGAGCCTCTTGAATGACAGCTCTGCAGTGGCCCTCATTGTGACCTCTCAGTGTGGTGACTGCGTGTTTTCTGTGAATAGCATCTTTGAGCTCTCTATGTTCAATTAAGTCTATCTTTAACCACATGCTGTGTTTCAGATAGATATTTCAGATAGAAATTTTGATTTAAATATCGGTAAAGCCTTTTAAAACCTTGTTGCCTCAGCTCCAGCCAAAAAAAACAGAGCATTAGAGGAAGACAGGCTGACAAACACAAACTCTGGAAATATCTAAAATAATTAGGCAACTTTATTACTCACCTCTTGTGAAGTTGTAAAATTAAACTGCAGCATCATATCTATACAAACAATGACACTCATTCCGTTAAACAAAGCTATAAATCTAGTTTGATGTGTTCTTTAAAAGTAAAACGGTGAGAGCAGATCCTCACGTGTGTCTGTTTACATAAATCCAGGCAGCAAGGATCTCTGTGAAGCTGCTGCTACAGTAAATACAACTCTACTTCTGCGTAATTCATCACCAGCCTTCTGTGCATTAAAATCATTTATCTGATCTATTGCACCACATTTCACAAATAATAACACAGTTTTGACTTGCATCTAAACTAGAAGTGCAGTGCACTGATCTTTTCAACACTTTAAAGTTTCAAAGCCAGTCATTTTACTATATACACAACATGTGGTGCACTTGCAACTTTTAGCTTGTGCTACGCTGTCTCTTCGCTACAGTCATCCTGCTAGGAAATTTAAAATCTCATCTGATTCTCCTCGTATCTGTGGTCTACGCTTTTTGTCACATGTTTAAAATGCTCTTAAGACTGAAAAATCCTGTAGTGTGTACTTAAGGCAGGATATTTTGTTGTTTCTGGAGGAAATTATAATACGTGGCAGCCTTTGCAATTTACTAATGGCATTAATTCAAATTGCGATTTGTGATTTGATTAATCACAATCTTGCAGCCCTAAAATACATTATGCCTTTATCAATTAATTTATAAAAGAAGACCTAATGCTGATGCTACTGTCATTTAGTTACATTACGTACACAATGATTAACATGGTTATGATTTCTCTATTTCTTTAGGAGCGGGAACAGAAGCAGAAGCTACTCAACCCAAATCCAGTTAGAACATCAGAAAGGTTCTCTCAAAAAAACGTGAAGCAAGAAGAGGAGGTGTGTATCAATAACATTTTTCTTGAACCAATTATTAACATTTGTAATGTTTTAATGGTCCTTCATCCAATTCTGCATACAACAGTTAATGCACAATAATGACACTTGTTCACATTCACAGAATAATTTGTCAGAAGATGAGAACAAAGATGAAGATCTTGATAGACAGGTTCTACTGGCAGAACAGAGGCGAGAGGAGGAGAGACTTCTTCAAGAGGAACTACAACGAGAGAAGATGGAGAAGCTCAAAGCTGCGGAGGGTAAACATTTACACACATATAACAGATAGAAAGTAAACAGCATGTAAAACTAACTGTTGTGTTTGCTCAGATGGGTTTTCTATTGCTATGGGCCTGAGCGGTTGGGAAATGTACCGCAGCATAGCATGAGTGGATCTGTGTGATTTATGTGCTGTACTGTGTAGACTGTGAAAGAGAATGTAGAGGCCTTTAATCAGAGGATCACTTGGCTTTTTCTCCCCGCCTCTGATGTCATCTGTCAGGGGTTAATGAACTGCTGATTGTGCTTCAGTGGAGGAGCCTCATTAATGTATTATAGATGAACAGCAGGACCTGGGCTGCTCACTGTGTGCATTGCATATGTGGAGTCCGCCCTCAAACATCTTTAATCCACCCGGCAGGGGGCTGGCAGGCCTCGGCCTTTTATGTCCAAAGATAAAGCAATACATATGCCCCCTTTCTACACTGTTCTGCTTTTTTGATCAATGTGACCCTTAGAAAAGTGCCTGATGAATCGTTCCCTTTCTACTTTCATAGTTTCTTCTGTGGCACAGGAATGGTCTGGTTTTCATTGACTTTCTGACAGTGACGAGCTACTGTAAACTAAGCTACTTTATGCAAAGTTTCATACCAGTGCAACATATTTACTTACAAGATTCTAAAGAATGTTTCCACCTATACTGATTTCCTTCCCTGTCTTATCTTCTGTTCTAGAGCGGGCAAAGAGAAGGAAGATGCGTGAGGAGCGCGCCTGGCTGCTCTCAGAGGGGAAAGACCTGCCACCGGAACTTTTAAACCTAGAGCCCTCTTCCCCGGTCCAAAGGAAACGCAGGAACAAAGAACTGTAAGGCACATTGACGTTTGGCTGTTTAAAACTTAAAGATTTAAACTTACCTTGCTCTGTTTCTCATTGCAGTAGCTATGACATTGACGATGACTACACTGCTTTATATAAAGGTAGAATCAAAAACATATATTTTGTTGAGTTAATGATGAAATTAAATGCTGTTGTATTAATAAAATTTATATTTATTTCAGTTCTTGAGGCACTCAAAGCCCATAAAGATGCCTGGCCTTTTTTGGAACCTGTGGATGACTCTTATGCCCCCAATTACCACGAAATTATTGAGGTGTTTATTGATAATCAGTTCTGTCCTGCATGAGGTATGTTTTTTGTTGACTACCTTAGCAAACTAGTCTGTTTTGTGTAATTTTAGACTCCTATGGATCTGTCTACTATTGAGAAGAAACTCGGTGATGGCAAGTATGTTGGGAAGGAAGAGTTTGTAGCAGATGTGAAGCTTATGTTTGAAAACTGCCTTGAATACAACGGAGAAGACAGTGGTAAATACAAACACATGGATAAATACATTACATATAAGTTAAAATGACAACAACCATTATCAGCATAATACTAAAGGCTTTGTGAGAAAGAGTATGCGTGTTTGTGAGGAAACTGCAGGAGTGTGCAGTGTGCTGGGGCCAGGCCAGGAGCACTTTGACAGTGATTAATGGAGAGTGATTGAGCCGTGCTCTGGTGCTCAGGGGGATCTTAGCCCTGCAGTGCCACAGAGACATTCCAGCCTCAGCCTAAGCCTGCTGTCTGGAGCCATCTATCCAACTGAACGCTCTCCCATGGGACGGGGGAGGAGCAGGGAGGAGGCCCAGGGAGGGACAAGACATGTTTGAGGGTTTGGTGAGGCTCAGGTCAATGTACACCCTCTGACCAGGTCAAGAGAGGCTGTTGGCACGTGGCCATGGCTTACATTCTAGTAATATTCCTCTTAGCTTGTGAACATGAGGCTATACGAACCCAAGCTGCCATCGGTTTTTGTTGGAACACATTTTTTGTATTGTGGTTAGTGTTTTTTCCCGTCAGAATGTCTTACGACAATGTTTGCTGTCCGCAGAGTACACAATCATGGCCGAATCCCTCGAGCGATGCTTTAATCGGGCTATTTTGAAACACTTTCCATCTGAAGATGGAGACACGGATGAAGAATTTCAAATTCACAAAGATGAAAAGGAGCGAAAAGACAAAAAACGCAGTCGTGGAAATAAAACTACAGGTCCAGAAAGTCTAATCAAGGCTACCGAACAGGCACAGCGTAAACGCAACACACCTATGGAGGAAAACGATTATAAATTAACGCGACCACCGTGGTCTAATGCACCCCCATTTGGCCATCCTCCAAACCAGCAGCAGGGCCATCCCATGAGGGGCATGTTTCACCCTGGGCAACAGGTATGTCATACAACTTTTTCCATTTTTTTTTTTTTTTCAATTTTTCTCTTTTCTTATTTGTCCTAAACCTGTAAAAAAAAATTGCATTTTGTTTGATTTTTTTTTTCTTCTACAGCTTCAGAGGCCTCATGGTCCCCACATGTTTGGCCAAAGAATTCCTATGAATGCTCACTTCAACTATCCAAATCACATGCTACAGAATGGTGACCCCAACGCGCTACGTCACAGCTTTAACATGCAGGTAATGTATATATCGTGTAAACTAGTGTGTCTACATTACGTGTGACATGTGATATTAAATCTAAATTGGACTATTTGGCTTATCTTTATCACTAGTGTCATATTCACATGTGTGTCAGAATAAATTTGAACTTTTTTTTTTAAATATTGATTTCACCTAAGTTTGAACAATTGTTCCTTTTATTTATCAGCACCACATGTTGCCGGGACACCACATGGGTGCCAGGTATCCAATGGGTCCTAATCCCACGCCTGCACAACCAGGACAGCACCATCCTTACATGGGCCCTACCCATGGCCCTTCGCTCGGGCCCCGTCCTGTGGCCCTTCAGCCAGGCCCTCCCCCTGAAGCCAGCATATACCCCTCCCACAACCAGCCTGAAGGCCACACTATGCCTCCTCTGCCCAACAGGTTCCCTGGGCCAGATGGCTCACCGCAGCACAACCATCCTGGGATGAGGCCTCCTGCTATTGGACCACCACATCTGTGGAATAGCTTGACTCACCGTGGACAGGAACCTCCTGGTGGGATGCATATGCAGGACCCCAGTGCAATGAACCAGCGCAACTACAGCTATGGTGGAATGCCCCCTCCAGTGGGGCACAAACCGTGGCCCGAAGCTGCAGGATACCCCCACCCCCCCCCAATGCCCAGTATCAAATGTCTGCTTCAGGCAATGGCCCAGGGCCCATGTCCTCTCGTCCCCCTGGGCCCAGTCCAGAGTTGTCAGGCAGGACCGGCTTGGCCTCGATGCTGGAAAGCCCAGAAATGCTGGCTTTACAGCAGCTGTCGGCGTCCTCTGGACCCCCCTCTGGACCCCCCTCTGCTGCCCCACATCCCCACATGGGCATGTATGAACAGTCTGACCTCCCTTCAGCAGTTGGCAGCACTCCAGCCCAGCCCTCTCAGTGCCCGCCTCCTGGACACCAACTTCAGCTGCCACATCCCTCTTTACACAATGGACCAGACCGACCACCATCTCAGCAGATGGGCACAGCACCCACAGGTGTGTCAGGCCTTTTATACACTTAGGTTTTTAATCCTGAAAGTTGAGTGAGTCTGGCTCACCCTAACTTCCAGGGGTAATGTAAATATCTAAACGGTGATATGAAAATCTGTTAAATTATGTCTTAAATGTAGAAGTTTATTATATTGAAGGAGATTTAGCCTAGATGACTGCTTCGTTGAGTTTATTTAACAGGTTTAGAGCAAAAACTACATACAGTGCTAAAATTTAATATTTGTAGATAAATGTGATTGTAATTAAACATGGTGTTTGTTTTTTGTTCTAGGCTCAGTGTCAGAGACAAAAATACCTTCCAATAATTGTGTGGACAATGCTTGGGCACACAAGGACACTGTCTTTGAGGACCAGGAAACATTGTCTGTCACAAATGTTCATCCAAACGGTCCCTTGGATGAGCTGCACAGTCCTCAGGGAGGATGTGAGAATGTGAATGGAACTGGTTTGTCTGGGAGACCTAAACTCCCAGGGGGCAGCATAATGAATTCAGCAAACTTAAACTTAAGCAATGGCAGCTCCCAGGATCCACATGCCAGGCCTCCTCAACATGTTTTAGTCCACACTTCTCCACAAAAAAGTCCAGTGCTTTTGCCACAGACTGATTCTTCATCACCAAACTCTGCACATCAAAAACAAGAGAGACACTTTGATGTTACACATAACCAACAAGAACATCAGCATCCTTTTGTAAAACAGCAGTCACAGGGAGCATCTCCTCAGAACATACAGAGTCCACACGCTCATCCATTTCCACACAGCTCTCCCAGGCCAAAGGCACAGAGCAGCCCCAGTGCTGCACCAGGGCAACCCTCCTCTTTCTCTGCTCTGCCCCAGCTCAGCCCCGCGAGCCAAGGAGCTCCCAGCCTCCCTGAGCCCAGCAGTAGATCAGACACAGAGCCAGATGTGAAGTCTGGTCCTGTTAATGGTGTTCACCAGGCCTTCAGCCCCAGCAGTCATCAAGGGCAGCCCATGGGAACCAACTCTGTTCCAAGGGCTCTTACAATGACCCATAATCCCCCCATGTCCTCTCATCCTCAAGGACACATGAATAGACCTATGAGTTCATACAACATGAGCAATCCCTCATTTAACCCAGCAAATAGACATCTGCACCCCTACCACGGTCAGCCTTACAATCCTCACCACAGTGCTGCGCCACGTGCCAACTACCACCATCAGGGAAGCCCATACCCCTATCATTCAACTCCTGGGCAGCCACACCCCCATGCCAACATGTACGCTGGTCCTCAGTACTCCTACCCTCACGCACAGAGCCAGGGCCATGGTCAGGTCAATGGCAGAGGTGGCTATCCTCCAGAGGACTGGCATCGCTCACAATATCAGCCTCATCAGCCAATGCCTGCTAGTGCCTACCTCCCTGCAGCCAGTGCCAAAGGGAGCAGTCAGGCCAGGGAGAGTAGCATGTCCCCAATGGGCTCAGAAGGCTCCAGTGGAGCTAACCTTATTTCCCCTTGTCCTGTCGGGGACGGGCTAGAAGAGCGGGGCAGTGTGAATGGCAACAGAGGCAGTCCAGCAGAGCAGGGACTCTCAGAGGAGAAATGTGAGCGGCCTGAAAGCCCCAAAGAAATCCTGGATCTGGACAGTCACAATGCAGCTTCTCAGCACGCCCCTACTCTCACTCGACATCACCCCTCTGCAGCTCCCATGGGCCCTGGCTTCATGTACACCCCCCGCTCGATGCACACAGCACCACAGCACATGATGTCACAAGCTCAAGGGATGGGCAACAGAGCTCCATATCCCAGCCAGCCGTACCCTCCTCCAGGAGGATACGCTCACAGACCCCACCCTCACCTGATGGAGGCGCTGCAGCGACCACAGCAGCTGCCCTACTCCCCTGGACAGAGCCGCATGAACATGTACACAGCCCCACAGCCTGGGCCACACTACCAGGGCATGATGGTCCAGAGAGGCCTGCCACCAGACCACTTTGTGCATGCCAGGTAACATCACATTGTGTTTATGCTAATATGCTATACTGTGCATGATGTAAGTGATATAAAGTGATTTTACCGTTTATTTTTCAGCCAACAGATGCCCATGCCTGGTGGTTCTGGCAATAAACAATCTTAAGAATCCACTGAGTAAGGGCCTTTTCATGTAAATTACTATTGTTAACTATTATGCAGCTTTAATAACGTCTTGTTTTTATAGACTCAGCAGATCCTTCGGAGAGGGAATTGTGCATCTTCAGCACCAACACATGTAATTTGTGACACTGGACATTGCGCCTAATGGACACAATTTAAAAAAAATGCTTATGAGCCATGACTTTATTTGTGGTATACACTGAAAGGGACTCGATGCCGTTTACTGCCCCACTTCCTGTAATAGACAAGGATGCAAAGGGGTGTTTCCAGGAATACTGCTCTTTGTAACCACTAGGCCACTGTGCCTTAAGCAACACTGGACATGTCTGATACAGTGGAATATTTTCCCACTCTGTAGAATTTGAGAGCTTTTGAGTACTTTAATGAAGACAACTGTTTTATCACTGCATTAGTCCACACTTTATAATTAACTCAGGTTTAACAAGAGGTACTATTTGACAAATCTAGCCAGCTTGAAGGCCCCCCCTTACAAATGCCTTGTTTTACTTTGTGAATGTATGTGTGAATGTTAAGTAGAAGTTCAGCAGGGTAGAACATAAAAACCTGAAAAGACTTTAATTTTGTGCATCAAACTCTGCCCTCCAAGTGAAGAATGTCTGACACACACTGTATTCACCAGAACCCACTCTATAATGCACTATTAATCTAGAAACAAGTGGCCTTGGATAGTCTTCACAAACACATTTTTATTTTAGTTTAGTTATGAGTACAGCCTTCTCCATTCTGTTTTAGATTCACATGAGATTGAAGGTTTTATAGAGAAAATGAACTCAAGAAAATGTGACTTGTTTTTCCCTCAGTCCCAAATGTAATGAGTTTTCACTTCTCTAAAAAGGGTTCAATAATCCTCAGATGTTATGAGCCCTGTCTGCTGGTGTATGCACATATTATTAACACGGTAATGGATTTTGTGTATGTTTCTTGTTCTTTTACTTCAAATGGTAGAGGTTCTTCTTTCACATTGAACTTTTTCTCAGGGTGCGCAATTGCTGTATACGGGTATCTTTCTTAATTGTTCACAGGAATTTGAATACGCCTCACACTTTTTTTTTTTTTTTTTCTTTTTTTTTTTACTGATTGTCATGCATCCTTTTTCCTCCGGTTAGGTTATATTAAAATTTCTCATGTTATATTTCACATTCCCTCGTTTTTCAACTTCAAATTGGTCCTAGTTTAGTGGCAGTGCTATCTTTCTATAGTCTCTGTTTAGACCAAGTTTTGCCTTGTTCTCCATCTGTTTAGTTCTGTAATCCTAAACATATCTACCTCATTGAGCCAGAGAGTAGCCACTTCCTCTACTGTTCTGCCAGACACATGTAGGTTACTTAAATGTGATTGTAGCAGCCTTATCGTAAATTATTTAGCTATATAGTTATGATTGGCCAGTGTCACTGTAATGTAACTTATAATTGTAGAGCTTTTATATTACAAAATTATTTCCAAAAATCTGTTTTTGTGCCGTTTCATCAATCACATATCTGGCCACACAGGATTTTGTTGTCTTTATTATTAAAATCTGTTTCTACGCATTGGCTGGCGTTGTAACAGTGTGTACAGAGGGACTGAAAGATGCACTGTAGACGTCCTTGTTCATTCAGATTCTTGTTTCTATAATTAGTGGGCCTGATCAGGTCTCATTACTAGATTTAATTTTTGTCGATATTAAACCAGAGATGAGGTGGTGGCACTGCCTGTAGTGTACAGATGAGAGTGTATGAGTGTCTTGTGTGGAATCATCACATGACTTGATCCATTCAGCTCTGTTTTTCTGCTGTCTTCTTTCTGCACAATTGGAAACGTGATAAAATGTGAATCATATTTATTTGCTTTTTAAACTTTTTCGTTTTTTTCTTGTACATTTTCCCCTTGTTTTAATATAAATGTGTGCTGTCGTTTTCTCCATGTTTTAAATTGTTGTCCTATACCTCGATTGTTTTGACAAAAAGACCAGTATGCTTCATTTTAAGCGCTTCATATCTGACTGATCTTTTTTTTTTTTTTTTTTTTTTTTTTCAAATGGATCGAAATACTGTACATTTCTTAGAAATAAATATCTTTTCTTAAGTAAATATGTCTCACATTTCTGAAGTAATGACAGTTGTCAGCTGGTGGCTAAATAGTTTGGCAGAGCTAAGTTATGAGAAATTTAGGCTTAATTGTTAACAAAAAAATATATACAGTATAGAGTAAGTTTTGAACTGTCAATAGACCCAACAAGAAAATAGCAGTTACAGTTGTTTCCCACACATGTCTCTATTTGTTTTCACCAATCCGAGCAGCAGTGTCAACATGAGCTCATCCTCTCACAACAAAAGGGGGAGGGACGGTGGCTCCCATAAACCAGAGCTTATTTTTTTACAGAGGATCAAATCACGCTGCAAAACTGTAGATCCGCGTTTTCCGTCTATATAAAGTCAATGGTCAAAGTGCACCACGTTATTTTTCACTCCAAGTTGAGCTCACAGTGACGATGCGTTATATTTGTCCTTCGGTTTGTTTTTATGTCTGACGAACAACAACCTTTGCTTTACGGAGACTCCGAGACCTGTCCTGCTGCTACACTGTAAGAAACATTATATTTATTTATCCACTTAATCATATGATGTTTTAACAACGCGCCGTGTTTTTGTTTTTTTTTTCTATTTTGTTCAAACATTAAGAGTTGTGTGGATCTTTTAACTGAGGAAATAGTGTAGCTTATGGCTACTGTCTCGGTACAGTAACTTACAGTATCTGCTGTGTCAATAAGAAATAACGGTGCTTTTTTTTTTGTTTCGTGCATTACAAAAACACATTTCTGCAACTTTACGATGTAAGTGAGGAATTAATTCAAGTCATGAAAATCGTCTGTTTGTTGTTTTGTCAGACCGAATGCTACAAATCCAACTCTGCTACAGACATGGATGTCCCAGAGCGCCATCTCGTGGTGTGTGTGTGGATGGCGCTGTGCTGCCTGTGGGCTGGTGTGTCCATGCCAGATCCAACATACAGAGAGGAGCTCATGAAGATGGAGGCGTCCATGCAGACAGGAGGCGAGGTGGTGCTGAACGAGAAGGAGAAAATACTCAACTCACGACTGTTACAGATGAAGCAGAAGGAGGTGATGAGGGCAGACTTTCCACCTGCAATGCACTTCTTCAAAGCCAGGGACCTGATCAAGAACAGCGCCCTCTTCCGTCTACTGCAGAAATTGCCTAAAGGTAGCCTATAATAATAATAACGCATTTTATTTATATAGGCTTTTCTAAACACTCATAGAGGCTGTGCATGAATACAATCAGAAAGAGTTCATGTATATCAAAAAACAAGGTCATATGCTCTGTGCTCATGGGGAAGTGCAACTGTGGTCACATGTGCTTACACGGTAGAGTAACAACTTGTTCCTTTTTTTAAATATCTGCTCAATAAAAATAGTCACAGGTGCGTCACGTAGTCGCGACACCTGCAAGTCAGCCGAACATTTACTTAAAAACACGAAATGTCAATCATACCAGTGATTTTTCAAACATGTCACACTAAATACCACCTGAGGTCATATTTACTCAGAAAGTAATCCAATACCTACTACAATATTGCTACAGAAGCTTCAAACAAGTAGTAACTCAAGGAAAGAGAAAAATTGTGGATACAATTCACTAAAAATAAATAAAAATAAAATAGAACTGAAGAGTATCTGTTGGCTGATATATGAGATGAGTTGGTAGTAAATTCAAATTACATAATTTGGGGGAAATAATCTAAATTGACCCTACTTAGGTACAGTATTTATTAATGAACATCTGTAAATACAGCTAGGCAGGTGATACAGAAAACAAATACAAAATTCGTAACAGTTACAAAGAAACGTAACCCAGAATAGTAAAATAGACTATAAAATAGACAGAAAAAAACTGTTCACTTACTTTTACTTCATCTACAGATTACGGTGAAAATACGCAAATGGGTTCATGCTATAGTTCCATGAGGGTAAAATAATAATAGCAGATAACACATAACAAAATAACAGCGGTTAAAGTGTAAGAGCTTTCTATTGTGTATGAAATCTGAGTATTTTTGTGTCCAGGTGCAGCCCTTCACTTGCATGACTTCTCCATTACGGATGTGGAGTGGCTGGTGAAAAACGCGACGTATAGGCCTCATCTCTATATGTGCACTACCAACACTCACATCATACAATTCATATTCTCCTCCCAAATGCCCGAACCAGTGCCCCGCTGTTCCCCCTGGGTTCTGCTGGAAAAACTCAGAGCTATGACTGCCAATGTGACTGAGCTTGATCACAGGTAATTGAAACAAGCAGCAAGTCTGTCCTAATTTCATGTGTTAGAGGCAAGAAAATGAGCACATGAATATTTGATTAGCAGCAGCAAAATTTAATAGATGAAAAACTGCAGATCTGCCTTGGCCTGAAGTCAAAAGTGGTAACAATATAAAATGTTTATGAAAAATTTGGGCTTGGTATTCTGTATTGTAGAGGTTCCCTGATGAGTTTAGTGTTGTCATTACTGTCGATGTCCAAGGATAGGGACTCTATGTTAGCTGTAGTAAAGTAGCATAAAGTGATTGCGGGTAAGCTGCTTTTTATTTCACATCATCTTAACTTTATCATTCAGAAAATTTGGAACATATTAGAGGATTTGTCAAGCTTTTCAGTGATATGCACAGCTACATTATCGGAGTAGAGGCCTGTCTCACAACTTCAGGAAGACTGTTCCAGATTTTAGCTGCATAAAACTGGACTGATCATGACCAGGACTGAACTAGGATTGAACCAGGACTACATCAGGACTAAAGCAGGACTAAAGCACGAGGCTGGTCCTCATAGAGTAGTACATATGGCACTAAAATGTCAGAGATGTACTTTGGCACTAGGCCATGGAGAGACTTGTACACAAACAGAGCTGCTTTAATGTCTCTTCTGAGCCACAGGAGCCAGTGCAGAGACCTGAGCACAGGGCTTGATTCTGCATGTACCTTTTAGCTAACTAAAATTCCCTAAAATACATTTTCTGTGAGATTTTTGTGTTTTAGGAAAAATAGTCCAACATCAACCTATTTGTTAATGCATTTTTCACTCTATCCTTGGCCAGTATAATGAAGAACTTAACCATTTTCACTGAGCTGGACCCAAATGTGCTGTACCCAACCCAGTCCGTGATCTGGAAGCGGTTTGAGCAGTCGTTTGTTGCTGTGTTGGGTCTGGTCACCTACGCTCCAGTCTTCAGAGATTACTATTACCAAGGCCTCAGCGAGTTTTATGCAGACAATGTCATGTATCTGGAACTGCGGGGGATGCTTCCTGAGGTACAGCTTAAATGCTCTATATTACACAAAATTTACTCATGATTCTAGGCCCTTTAACTAGTAATGAAGAGTTTATATTTTAATCTTTCCTTGATCAAATCCACTAGGACTGGACAATATGATTTTAATATTCATTTTAAACAATCATTCATCACAAAAATAGATAGATGTTGAAGATCATATCAAAAACGCAATTTGCTGATTAACTGCTCAGACATCCCATGTAAGACTTTTCTCACTTTATTGTGGCACAAATCATTTCTAGATTGATAAATTTCTTTCATACTATTTGTGGACTTTGAATGATATTTATTGCCTGTATGTAAATATTTTAGCAGTTTTTTTAAACACTGTAGGTACTTTTTTCTCTTATGTATAGGCTATGGGGGCAAATTTTAGACTGTGGGGGCCAACATAGTTTATTCTGTTAATGGGAAACGCTGTTAGTTGTAATGATGACACCCATTACTTTTAGATTTATGAGCTGGATGGCAGTACTCATGACATGGCATGGACTATAAAAACCTACCAGGAGGTCACGAGACAGTTCACAGCAGATCACCCAGACTTCTTTGGAGCAAGAATCATTTTCACTATGCACAGGTAAACCACGGTGTGTTAAGGTCCTATATTACACAAAATTGATTCATGTGAGCTTTAAGCCATGTAATAATGTTGTTACCTCCTCAAAAACAGACCTGGAGCTGTGTTTTGTTTCATTCACACAAGTTTGAGTAATCCTTTATTTTAAGTCTGTCTATATTGCCTATAACAGCTACCTTTTACCTTTTGTTCAGTAGAGATTGTCAATTCCAGGGCTTAAATCATTATAAAAAATATCTGAAATATGTGCCCTTTAATGATAATCTGACTTGCACAGGAGTGTAAATTCAACTGTGATGGCCCAAGCTGTGAAGAAGGCCATGAAGTTCAAGAAAGACTTTCCGGATTTTATGGCAGGCTTTGATTTGGTGAGGATGAGGTATTTATTGTAAATGTTTCAGTTTTAAAGCATGCTTATGTGTTTTTGTAATGTGTTGCTCCCAGGTGGGCCATGAAGATGTAGGGAGACCTCTGTGGTATTTCAGAAATGAACTGTCTCTCCCATCAGACGAAGGACTGTCCCTTCCCTTCTTTTTCCATGCAGGAGAAACGAGTATGTCTTTGTTTTGTTTATGTTGTAGAAGTAAAGATAATGGCTCATGTTATTGTTTGACTGTGTGTAGATTTGGAGGGCTCTGAAGTGGACCAGAACTTGCTGGACGCTCTGTTGTTCAACACGTCCCGCATTGGACATGGCTTTGCTCTGCTGCGTCACCCTGTGGCCAAGGAGCTCTCCAGGAAACGAGGAGTAGCTGTGGAAATTTGCCCCATCTCCAACCAGGTAATGGTAATTATGTAAAATCTATGAGTGGATGCAGTCAAAATGTAATAGTGAAAAAAACAACAACAAAAAAATGCACTTTTGAGTAGGAGCTGTTGCAGCCTATAGGCCATATTCGAACTATGGTTGAATTTACAGAGACATTGATTTGGAAGAGTTTTTCAACCAGCAATTTAGTGAGTGAATAATGACTATAGTGTAGCACTTTGAGAGGCTTTGATGAAAAAGTAAAGCTGTAAAGCTTGTTTTTTTTGTTGTTGTTTTTTAAGAGATCTGTCATGAAAAGACTTCACTGTTAGATCAGGTTCTATACGTTGACATCCAAGTGTTGAAAATTTGAAGACAGTTTGGATAGATATATTTCCACAAACTTGCCTCTCCTGTAAAGTAAGTGAGCTGTATGTTTTCTTCCCCAGGTGTTAAAGCTGGTAGATGATTTAAGAAACCACCCCGGGGCAGTCCTGATGGCAGAGGGCCACCCTTTGGTCATCAGCTCTGATGATCCGGCCATGTTCGGTGCCTCGGGTTTATCCTATGACTTTTATGAAGCTTTTGTTGGATTTGGGGGCTTAAGGTCCAACTTAGGCACCCTCAAAGCACTGGCTATGAACTCCATAAAGTAAGACTGAGTTTATAGGGTGTTTTTCAATGAGCTAATGTGAATATCTTAATTACTGTCATAATGCCTGTGTTATCTTCCAGGTACAGTTCATTACCCGCCCAGCAACGAGATAAAGCTTTGGCTATGTGGCAGAAAAGATGGGACAAGTTTATATCTGAAAATACTTTAATATCAGGGTTCTATCCAGAGTTTATATTTTAAACAGGAAAAAAAGAGAGGTAGAGGTCTGTATTTACATAACAAGACAAGACATTTTGTGATTTGCTTATTGTAATCATTTAAATAGTGATTTGTAGCAGTGTTGGAGACACATAATTTAAATTCAGCCTTTAAAACTGTGACAAGAAATTGTTATCGTTTTACAATTGCACTTTAGACTTTTATGTTTTTTTAAGAGTATGAACACTGGATTTTTAATGTGATGAGTGCTTTCAAATCTTTGGAGACAATTTTTAAAACATATTTTTTCAGGTGAAATGAATGGAGCTCAACAGTGACTGCTCGCTCCGGTCCCGGAAGTAAAATTTTCATTCATTTTTCCAATAGATATTAAAGACATTGTGGAGACTAAACACCTATCTGCTAACTAATATTCAGAAAGCACATTTAAAACACAAGATTATGCAAAATGCTTTAATAACTGAGTGGTTTCAGAAACAGATTTTAAATAAAATGATAGGTCTGGGACTTGGGCAGTCACTGTTGAGATCCATTGTGTGAATGAATTTTATACTTACCGTTATCTGCCTTTAAAGCTGCCCTAACAACTCCGTTCAATGACAAATGAATGTTGATTGCTTATCATGATTTATTATGTGTTTTGTTGTTATTTTTTGCATAGCTTATTTATTGCAGTCCAATACGACTTTCATCATCGACTGCAAGTGTTGAACTGGGTGAAGAAACTCTCAGTGACAGCGCCCTTTGAAATCGCCGGTTTTCTTTAAAGGCAAAAAACAAATAGAACATATTGTTAAAAAGTGCATGCATGTTTTGTTGAATACTTTATTTTGTTGAATACTTTGTTGCTATTTACATTTGTTTCCTGGTCTCTGCTAACATGTGGTTGGTGCTGTCCAGGTGTTTCCTCATTTGTTTGTTGAGTTTTGCCTGTTGTCTCTCAATGAGTGTGGCCGTCCGAGCTGAATCAATGCGGATGCTGTCATAGTAACGCTGCTCATTTTCCTCACTCAGTTTTTGTCTCTGCAAATACGCACACAGCAGTAGCTTAAATGTGTATTGTGTAACTTTTCTGGTGGAGGGTCTGTCATGTGCTTTTTTTCTTCCATTTGTTGTTGCTGAAATTCTTTAAGCTTTAAGATCTCTTTCCTCTCTTTTTCCACTATGCTTTGGGGGGAGTCTGCATTGATCTCTCCATCCATGAAATCCCAAACTCCGGTGTCCTTATCCTTAGATTGCTGACGCCTTTTTTTCTTCTGACTGGCATGGAAAAACAGTGGTAGTTATTTACACATCTTATTTTTTGTCTAACACAACCACTAACCCATTCCACCGGCATAAATAAAAGCTCTTCTCGAAGACAAACTGAGTTTTTGTGTGTGCATTTTCCATTTTCATGCTTCCAAATTGATTGAATTTAATCAGAAAAAGAAACATTAGTCTTATATAGTGCTTTCCCAGATGCTCAAAGGCACTTTACAATTTTGGACATTATTCATTCACTTCATTACTCCTGGTGGTAAAATACTGCCCCCACTGTCTCCCAACCAAGTACCAGGCCTGGCTTTGCTTAGCTTCAGAGACCTGACAGGATCAAGCTTTGACAGACTTGTCCAGAACTGTGACTGTTTACATGTCTGGGTCACACCATCTCATATTTGCAGATCTTATCGGGAGAAGTGGTTCATTTCAGAGTGTGCTTAGTTACTCACATTTTGGTATATGGCAAATTGTTAGAAAGTTGACTTACCATTGCAAGATTGAAATCTTTAGTTGCCATGACTTCGGCTTTTCGGTTCTCCATCTCAAGGTTTTGCAGCTCTAGAGCCATATTGTTGACCTCCACCATGAACTGGTCATAGTTCTTATCTGAAAACAGAAATCTACAGCATCTAACCAGTTCACAAGCTCTATAGTTTTATAACAAAGACATTAAAGGTCCTATAATACACAACATGGATTTCTTGTGCACTTTCATAGATATAGAACATTCTATATCTATAGGGCGCTTTAAGCAATGTTATAATGTTATCACGTCATCCAAAACATACCCTGAGTTGTGTGTTGTTTTATTCACACGTGTTTGAGTCTACATCTCCAAAGCTCAAAATGCAAAAAAGTGGTAGTTTTCAAGTTAACAGCTCCTTTTACCTTTTGTTGAGAGATCAGCCATTCTGAAATGATCCAAATGACTCTAGTGAAAGTGAATGGAGTTTGAAAACACAGTGGAGCACTTCCTGTATTACCACATGACATCACAAGCTGGATTGCTTTTAATTTGAGAGAGGAATTCAGCCAAAATGTGCAAGATTTGTGTGAATGAAACAAAACACAACTCCAAGTGTGTTTTTGATGAGTATACAACAACAGCAGATCAGAAAATAGCTTAATGAGCCCTGTAATTATTTTTATGAATTGTAATTCATAAAATAGCACCCATGCCCTTTAATAGTGTTACACCAGATCCTTATTTGATAGTTGACTCTTTGATAAAAAAAAAAACAAAAAACACCTACCTTCCATCTGTTACGGGTCCGGTCGAGGGGGCAGACCCGCACAGAAGAATGCGTCTGAATAATAGAAAAATAAAGACAGTGAGCAGTGAGCTTTGGTTCTGTGCAGCCTCGCTTCATTGCATATTTATTTACAAAATAATCAAAATTACATTTTAGTCCACATTTATCAATAATTTGGTTTCTTCACAATACATGTTCCAACCTATGTTCTAACCTCACACATACTGTCCAATTACCGAAAAAACGTATATTTACTCAAATACGTGTATATATCTGTATATATATCTAAACAGTACCTTTTTCTTACTTGACAATTAACTGAATTATTATTCATATTTTTACAGTTCGGCTTACACATTTACTCATTTTACAATCAAAACAACAACCTTAAATTTACCTTTTTTTATCTTAACTGTTAATCATAAATTATATATATATGAACAATACAAATAGTCCGGGATACTACATGCTTATTAAAAAAAGTTCAAGTTGCCGCCATTACAAAACCTCATGTTCCTACTGCGGTGACTAGCACAGCTTTTAACAAACTAACGCGATCTATCTTTATCAAAACCACTTGTATATCGGCTCTAAACAATTATTTATTATTATTTTAATAGATCCATGTTCTGTGCAGCCTCGCTTCATTGTATGAAGAGGAGCGGCGCAAAACTTTTCAAGAAGGGCCGTGGCTGGAGACCCGCGACTTACTCACTACACTGCCACCTCCTGGCGCACCTCGGTAATGCAAGAGTATCCTAAAAACTTTACAGAAACGTGGGGAAAACATTACATTTGCAATTTAGTACATGTTATCAATAAAGGAGCTACTTAACAGCACCAACACAAATAGCCAGATTACAAAATAACACTATCCCCATAAAATAACATATAACATAAAAATGTGACTGCACATTTTGTGTGCGTCACACATCTCCTGGTTTAGTCCTTGGCGTTCTGCCTGCTGTTGTATGAGCCAGTGGCTGAGCTGCTCCCTTTGTCTCTGCTGGCGGTCTTTACAGTTGGGGTCTTCACCGGGCAGCCCGGGGATCATCATCTGTGCCTCCTCAGGACTCATGTTTTTGAGCAAGTCTGGGTCATTCAGGTCAAACTCCCTCCGACTGGATGGCTGCTGGTACGTCTGCCTGAAGATCACCGTATCCTGGGCTATTTGCTGTTGTTGCTTTTGTTGACGATGGGTCAGAATGCTGGCTACCTTTTGGTAATGGAGCATCTCTGCATCTGTGGGGAAAAATGTCTTATGATGTATGTTATGATCACTGTTGGGCAAGTTACTTTGAAACTGTAATGCGTTATTTATTACCTATTACTGTCATTTCAAAGTAATTCGTTACATTACAATATTACTGCATTTAAAATGTAAGGCATTACATTACTATTGCATTACTTTAAGTTACTCTCACCAAAATAACTTTTGCGCTGTATATGGACTGAACCAGGACTAAACCATGTCTAAACCAGGACTAAACCAGAGCTGAACCAGGACTAAACCAGAAGTGAACTAGGACTAAACTAGAACTGAACTAGGACTAAAACAGGACTCACTGTAGGGACGGGCTCGAAGGTGACCGCAGGAGAAAGGAGCGGCTCTGCTCCGCACCTCATGGAGGTAAGAGCGGCTGTCACCCGATCGCTCTTTATGGACCCTGCTGCTCGGGCTCGCGGCCCTGATTTCAGCAACTATTTGCAGGTACCCGAGCCGGTGCAAGAGTCTGTTACAGCGTGTAACTTCTACCTTCCTTCGGCGTGTCCAGAAGTACAACTTTTTGTGTGATGGTTTGCATCGTCCTCTGTCTTTTGGGTGCGAGCGCAGGAGCCTTTGTCGGTGCAGAACGTTTCGTCGACGTTGTGGGTTTCGTCGGGGAGAAAACTTGCAACCGTACAGCACTTCAGAATCACACTGATACAGATTGAACATGTATTTAAATTTGGCAGCTGAACACATTCTGTACTGTGCTGTACAGGAGACAGGAGTCCCTTGGCCAATCAGGACGCAGCGGGAGGAACGCAATACGCATTCATACAATGTCAAAAAAAACAGGGCATGCAAAATTGCACAAAAAAAAAAAAAAAAAACCTGCGAGACAGCGAAAAGTGAACTGCGATAGAGGGAGGGACGAGTGAAAACCAGGTCTAAACCAGAACTGACCCAGGTCTAAACCAGGTCTAAACAGCGTGGAGTTCTTTGTCAGTCCTTTCGCCCGCGGTTACCTGAAGGTCTATGAGGGCGTATCTCCGGCGTTTCCCCGCTGCTGATATGTGATTTTAGCGAATTTGTATGAAGAAAAACCCACCACTTCAATCCAGGTTAAAAAAAACACTGTAACGCGCGTTACTCACATTTGTACCGAGTAAAATATTACTATTTTTTCCCCTGTAATGCCTTACATTACTGCGTTACAGCAAAAAGTAATGCATTACTGTAATTCGTTACTTTTATAACGCGTTACTCCCAACACTGCCAGTGATAGTAGCTCCTGTTTCACATTTAAGTTGTAGGCGATTTTATATTTGTTTTTTTAAATATATATCTCACATCGGGAGAAGAATTTCCAAGACACAAATGCGTTTTTACCAATGCACTGCTGCTTCCATTGTGTGACTGACGCTGCCAACTTTAACATGACGTTTACATCGCTCTTATTGCGCGCGTTCTGTTTGGGTTTCCGGCAATGAGTGAAATTACCGAAATAAATAAATAAATAAATGGGATGTAGCACAAAATGTGAAAACAGGAAAATACCGCCTTGTAATCCACTTATTTCAGCAAAGTAACTGTAATCCAACTACCACTCATTGAAACAGTAACTGTAATGGAATACAGTTATTCATAATTTGTACTCTGATTATGGAACGGCGGCACATGTAATCCGTTACTCCCCAACACTGTATGTATATATATATGTATATATAAATAAATATATATATATATATATATATATATATATATATATATATATATATATATATATATATATATATATATAAATAATAATACAAATTTAAAAAGAAGAATACCAAATGACAATGCAGCAATCCACTATTTGATTGTTTTTGTTTTACAGTCCTGAAACCTACAGCCAGCGAGATGTCACCCCACTCAGCTTCACCATCACTCCTCCTCACCACTTCTACCTCCACGCCCTCCTCACTCTCACCTTGTCCCTCACCCAGCCATTTGGTTAGAGGTGCCGATTGGGTTGACCACTTTGAGATTCCTTGGGAAAGATTTCCTGAACCCTTGATGCAGTACTTGGAGAGGGGCAAAAGGCCAAGCCCAAGTTTACAGCGAGAAATGATCCGCATTGTTGTAACCGAGATGATGAAGGTTTGTGCATCTCCCACGAAACAAGCCTCTACAGAAGTTGCCAAAAAGTTAGTTGCCAAGTATCCCCAGTCCTTAAAAGATGTTATAGAAGGTGAAGTAGTGGGACCAGGATATCACAGTCTAGTTAAACAGCTTCAAGCCCGTATAGACAACAAGAAGCGTCATTCAACCCCAAGAATACACAAGCGTAAACTGGAGTCAGCTAATTCTGACACAGAAAAAGAAACAGCGAAGAAAAAAGCATCAGTTCAGGACACATATGGCTGCATAAAGTGGGATGTTAAGTTTATGCCAGTCACTGAAACACTTGAGAGCCAACAAGAAAAGAAAGAAAAAATGAAGATGCTACATGAACAAGGCGCTTTCAGCCCAGATGAGGTGACAACACTTATGGAATGCACATACTACTCCCAACGTAAAGCAATAAACAAAGGAACAGCTATTCAAGTCCTGAGGGAGGAATGTGTGGGGAAAAAAAAGGAAGATGGCTGTTGAATTTTATGGCAACTGTTTGTGCAAACAAGACCAAACGCATCTTTGAGACAGTAACTAAACTGAAGTTCCAGAGAGGACAGTTGGAGAGTTGCTCAGATGACATCAAGGATATGATGCTTCTGCTTCTGTCCTACTTCAACGAAAAAGAGGAGAGCCTGTTCCACTATATTGAAGAAACTTGCCTGGCAGATGACGTTCAGGTGGACTGCTTGCCTGTGACCCCATGCATCATAGTATGTGGTAAGTTTTTTTTTTTTTTTCTCAGATTATCAAGGAGCCTCCATTGTTACATAATCTAATAGGCAAACTGTCATGGTTCAAAAGGCTTTTTGTGATTGTGTATTGAGAGACTTCACCATAAAAATATAAAAATCATCTCTGTTGTGCATTAATAAGAACATTTATTGCAGCTCAGAACTGTCTTTGAACTAACAAATAATTCTTGATCTTTTAATCTTTACAGGAACCTCCTGCTACAGTGCAAAATTGTTCATGCTAAGCATAGATGGCAAGATTCTAAATGACAACATCACAAACTTCATCGCTGCCATCAACATAATGTTTGGGAGCTACTACTGCCTGAATATCCACTATCCAGTAGAGTTGGGATCAACGCTGGAGTTCCTTCAAAGGTATGGTGTGCATGCGTGTGTGTGTTGGGGTGGGGGCTTTGGGGGCGGGAAGAGAGGAACATCCCTGCTCTGGTAGCTCAATGTAGGCAAATATGGAGGTACTTTTGTATCATTAATATTCACAAATGCACATACAAATAGTCATAGCCTCTCCTCCAACGCACCCGTCTCTAGTAGTTGATGTGCGAGGCTCTCATTCTCTGATATCCACAAATGCAAATTTAATATTTGTAACTTATATTTTGGTATTCAAAAATAGATGTATATTTGTAAATATATCTTTTTTCATTTGCAAAAAATAATTTAATTTGTAAAACTGAAAATTCTGTTTGTAAAATGCGATTTGCATCTGTGGATCATCAGTTACAGGAATTCACTGATTGATTGAGTGTTGAGTGTTGTTACTGAATGATTATTATTATTATTATGTATTAGCAAACCTCATAGTCTCTTACTAACACAATGTCCAGTAACGTCACTTAGGCAAATGTTTACCATTATCAAACGCCGTAACAGCTAAGGACTAAACCAGAACTGAACCAGGACTAAAGAACTGAACCAGGACTGAGCCAGGATTAAACCAGGACTAAAGCACATCTAACCTAGGACTAATCTTGGACTTGAGAGACAGAGAAAGGGAGAACCCCGAGTCCGTGGAGCAGAGTGTCAGCAAAGCGCGATGGCTGCGCTTTTGCCCCCGTGAAGCGTGGTCCTTTCGCCCACGGTCACCCGATGGTCTACGCAGGCGCACCTCCATGCCCAGCCCGACACTCAGTCCTGGTTCAGTTCTGGTTTAGTTTTGGTTCAGTCCTGGTTCACTTCTGGTTTAGTCCTTAGCTGTTGCGGCGTTTGATAATGGTAAACATTTGCCTAAGTGACGTTACTGGACATTGTGTTAGTAAGAGACTATGAGGTTTGCTAATACATAATAATAATAATAATCATTTAGTAACAACACTGATCATAATTAATAATCAATAAGTAACTGGGCTTGTAGACAATTCATTAATGTTACAGACCATCCTACAGACGCTTCCATTTTGGCGACGTCAAATGTTTCGTGTGCCAACTGCTGCCACCTGCTGGTCAAGTAAGTGTCTGAGTTTGTGGATCTTTCTGAGTTTGTGGATTTCTCAAAAGTGTCTCAAAATTACCTCATACCAGAAATCGGTGAATTCGTGTAACTGGTGATCCACAAATGCAAATCACATTTTACAAACAGAATTTTCAGTTTTACAAATGAAATTATTTTTTGCAAATGAAAAAAATGTCTAATTACAAATATACATCTATTTGTAAATACCAAAATACAAGTTTCAAATATTAAATTTGCATTTGTGGATATCAAAACACATGTATAAAGCAATGACTATTTGCATGTGTATTTGTGAATATTAATGACACAAAGTAACCCCATAGGCAAAGGGTTTAGATTATCATGAGGTGCTGGTACATGATGCAGCGTGTGATGCTTGAATTTGAAGAAATTGATCTTGGAATGTCCTTGAATTTAATGTTATCCAAGGTGTTGGAACCTTGGACACCCAGTGTGTCTGTGTGCTACAAATGGAACTAATCGCTTTTTTTTGTTTTTGTTAATAAAGGTGTTTCTTCAACATCAACCCTGAGAGGGGCACAAAAGTGGAAACAAAGAAAAACAAGAAGCATCTGACTGTAAACCCAAGGATCCTTACCCTCATCGCTGATCTAGCAGATCATGAATGGAGAGAGATGAATTAACATTTTGGTTCCTCTGCCATTTCTTGTTTTGTTCTTTATTACAGTGTTGAAAAAAATGGCAATTACTTTTGTTTTCTGATAGTTGACCTGTCAGAAATTAAAAATGGAAGTGCCAAGAGTAAACGGTCACAGTGTGCAAACTTTCATCACTTCTGATGCTCTTTTGGAAATCGTAAGGAGCCACTTCAAAATTATCGGACCCGACGGCTGGGAGATGTTGTCCAGGGGTTCATGGGATATGCAGACCAAGCAGATTATCCTTTCCATGTTTGTCCAGATGGTACAAAATATCTCCACAAACGTTTTGCGGGTAGTCATCCCCCTCAGTGAGGTCAGTGTATGTACAAATGTAACGGAGTCGATGCGCGTGTTAAAGACCATTACAGCGGTGCTCCAGGAGTCCATTGGTCTGATATTCGCTCGTGCTCTAAACATGAGTGCAGTACCTTCAGAGGTAGACATAAGCATTGAGTCTCAAGATCTCACTGCTATGATTGAGAATGAAGTTACTCACAAAGTCAACAGCGCCCTGTCAAACACATCCAAGTTACAACAGCAAAGGTCTGTTATTGTGGTGGACTCCTCTTTGAGTAGCCCGAGCGCTGGGAGCAGCATAGTGGACAAAGCTCTAGTGTGTTTGAAGCACTGCTTAAATGCACTGATCTGCCCTTGTGCAAGCAGAAGTCCTGCAGCTACACCTGTGCCAGAGTCTGCCCACACACCAACAGCTGCCCGGATGCATCCCCAAGCGGTTGTTCCTTCTTTTGTCCCTGCAGACCTTTTAGCCATTGTCTTGAAAACTCCACCACAAAACCAGCAAAAACAGTATTCTCTTGGGACTTCCTCCCGAGAGTCTTGTTTGTCACAAGGTCAGTCATTCACTCAGTACCTGATTATGGCTTTGTTGGTAAAACTGTTTAAGGGCAAACTGATATTACGTCCTGAAAATAAGACTTACAAATTCATCTTGACTCGCTTAACTAAAAAAGCTTGGGAGCAGATCGAGCTATCAGACGATCAAGTTAAGCAAACTGAAAAGAACATGAGTCAAATAATTGATAGTGTAAGGAAAATTCTTCTGGAATTATATGGCTCGAACACCGCAATGCTACAAAATGCCTTGGATGAAAAGGATCATACATTTGAGGATAAGCTTGTAGAATTGCTTCACTTTTACCTCCAGGTCCACAACAAGAAAAAGCCATCGCTGCTATCTCGCGCTGTTAGGAAGAGTAGACCCAGCCCACTCCCGCTTATTAGTCCGAAGGGTGTGGAGAGGGAGGAACCCCTCTTTCCCTACACCCTTTGTACTAATTAGATACATTTCAGAGTTGGACCTCTCGTGTTCAGATCTAAAATCAAATCTAAAATACAACCAAAAATAAAATAAAATGAATTAATTAATAAATTAATAAAAACAAAAAAAAAGATAAATGAAAATAAAGATGTTGCTTCTGCTTTGTACAAGGACTTGTGCAAAGGTAAAAAGAAGATCCACGTGCAGCACGCAACTCTGGCCCAGAGAGACTTCGGCTCCACAGTTCTGGAGGCCATCTACTGTAACCTGGTAGTGCCCCAGAAGAAGAAACGCACGCTGAGCACTTTCCTGTGTTCGGGGTAGTGTCTTCTGCAGGGACTAAACCAGGCCGGTCCCTTCATATAGGCCCAATAGGCCCAAAGGGTCTATCTGATGATGGACAGAGAGGAGCTCCCCAGCACTGAGTCGCACAAAGACTCGATGAGGAGGAGCAGACTGGAGCAGGAGTTTGGGCCAAACACCTGACAACCCCACCAACCCACACAAATACCTACAAACAAAAAACTAAAAAACTAAAATTAAATAAAGAAAAAAGAAAAAAACTTTGAAAAATATGTGTTGTCTCATTCTTGTAGATCCAGTCTTGTGTCCTGTGTGGAAATTCTATCTCATCCCAAGATTTGGAAATACGGATTATTGTGACTAGATTAACAATATACATGTGCAGCTCTAGATTAAAGTGAGTTGTAGTAGAAGTGACATTCTTTAGGAACACATGAATTGCTTATTTTTACTCTTTCCATCCATCCATTTTCGTCCGCTTATCCGGGGCCGGGTCGCGGGGGCAGCAGCCTAAGCAGGGACTCCCAGACTTCCTTCACCCCAGACACGTCCTCCAGCTCCTCCGGGGGGACCCCGAGGCGTTCCCAGGCCAGCCGAGAGACATAGTCCCTCCAGCGTGTCCTGGGTCTTCCCCGGGGCCTCCTACCGGTGGGACATGCCCGGAACACCTCCCGAGGGAGGCGCCCAGGAGGCATCCGGAACAGATGCCCGAGCCACCTCAACTGGCTCCTCTCGATGTGGAGGAGCAGCGGCTCTACTCCGAGCTCCTCCCCGTGTGACTGAGCTCCTCACCCTATCTCTAAGGGAGCGCCCAGCCACCCTGCGGAGGAAACCCATTTCAAGCGCTTGTATCCGTGATCTCGTCCTTTCGGTCATTACCCAGAGCTCATGACCATAGGTGAGAGTAGGAACGAAGACTGACCGGTAAATCGAGAGCTTCGCCTTTCGGCTCAGCTCCCTCTTCACCACAACGGTCCGATACAGCGACCGCATCACTGCCGAAGCTGCACCGATCCGCCTGTCAATCTCCCGTTCCGTCCTCCCCTCACTCGTGAACAAGACCCCGAGATACTCGAACTCCTCCACTTGAGGTAAAGACTCCCCACCCACCCGGAGAGGGCAAGCCACCTTTTTCTGGTCGAGAACCATGGCCTCAGACTTGGAAGAGCTGATCTTCATCCCAGCCGCTTCACACTCGGCTGCAAACCGCCCCAGTGCACACTGCAGGTCCTGGCTCGATGAAGCCAACAGAACAACATCGTCCACAAACAGCAGAGATGAGATCCTGTGGTCCCCAAACCGGACCCCCTCCGGCCCCTGACTGCGCCTAGAAATTCTGTCCATAAACACAATGAACAGAACCGGTGACAAAGGGCAGCCCTGGCGGAGTCCAACATGCACCGGGAACAGGTCTGACTTACTGCCGGCAATGCGAACACAGCTCCTGCTCCAGTCATACAGGGACCGGACAGCCCTTAGCAAAGGGCCCCGAACCCCATACTCCCAGAGCACCCCCCACAGGACACCACGAGGGACACGGTCGAATGCCTTCTCCAAGTCCACAAAGCACATGTGGACTGGTTGGGCAAACTCCCATGAACCCTCGAGCACCCGATGGAGAGTGTAGAGCTGGTCCAGTGTTCCACGGCCAGGACGAAAACCACACTGCTCTTCCTGGATCTGAGGTTCGACTATCGGCCGGATTCTCCTCTCCAGTACCCTGGCATAGACCTTACCGGGAAGGCTGAGGAGTGTGATCCCCCTATAGTTGGAGCACACCCTCCGGTCCCCCTTCTTATACAGAGGGACCACCACCCTGGTTTGCCAGTCCAGAGGTACTGTCCCCGACCGCCACGCGATGTTGAAGAGGCGTGACAGCCAAGACAGCCCCACAACATCCAGAGACTTAAGGTACTCAGGACGGATCTCATCCAACCCCGGAGCCTTGCCACCAAGGAGCTTGCCAACCACATCAGTGACTTCAGCCAGGGTGATGGATGAGTCCGCCTCCGAGTCCCCAGCCTCGGCCTCCTCCTCGGAAGACGTGACGGTGGGATTGAGGAGATCCTCAAAGTATTCCTTCCACCGCCGAACAACGTCCCCAGTCGAGGTCAGCAGCTCTCCCCTCGCACTGTAAACAGTGTTGGCGAAGAACTGCTTCCCCCTCCTGAGGCGCCGGACGGTTTGCCAGAATCTCTTTGAGGCCGTCCGATAGTCCTTCTCCATGGCCTCCCCGAACTCCTCCCAGCTCCGAGTTTTTGCCTCCGCAATCGCACGGGCTGCAGCACGCTTGGCCCGCCGGTACCCGTCAGCTGCTTCAGGAGTCCCCCGTGCCAGCAAGGCCCGATAGGACTCCTCCTTCAGCTTGACGGCATCCTTTACTTCTGGTGTCCACCACCGGGTTCGGGGATTGCCGCCGCGACAGGCACCACAGACCTTACCCCCACAGCTCCGAGCAGCCGCATCGACAATAGAGGCCGAGAACAGAGCCCACTCGGACTCCATATCTCCAGCCTCCCCCGGAATCCGGGAGAAGTCCTCCCGGAGGTGCGAGTTGAAAGTCCCTCTGACAGAGGGCTCCGCCAGACGTTCCCAACAGACCCTCACTACACGCTTGCGCCTGCCAGGTCTTTCCGGCTTCCTCCTCCGCCAGCGAACCCAACTCACACCCAGGTGGTGATCAGTTGACAGCTCAGCCCCTCTCTTCACCCGAGTGTCCAAGACACGCGGCCGGAGGTCACATGACACGACTACAAAGTCGATCATCGACCTCCGGCCTAGGGTGTCCTGGTGCCACGTGCACTTATGGACACCCTTGTGCTCGAACATGGTGTTTGTTATGGACAAACTGTGACTAAAACAGAAGTCCAATAACAAAACACCGCTCGGGTTCAGATCAGGGAGGCCGTTCCTCCCAATCACCCCTCTCCAAGTGTCACTGTCGTTGCCCACGTGGGTGTTGAAGTCCCCCAGTAGAGACAGAGAAATGGAGAGTCCAGCCCCTCTCAAGGAGTTGGGTTCCAGAGCCCAAACTGTGCGTGGAGGTGAGGCCGACTATATCTAGTCAGTAATGCTCAACCTCCCGCACAAGCTCAGGCTCCTTCCCCCCCAGCGAGGTGACATTCCATGTCCCCAGAGCTAGTCTCCATGTCCGGAGATCCGGTCGTCGAGGCCCCCGCTTTCGACTGCCGCCCAGATCTCTCTGCACCGGCCCCATATGGCTCCTCCCGCGGGTGGTGGGCCCACGTGAGGACGGCCCCACTTTTACTCTTTTCTTGTTTTTATTATTATATTATATATAAAACAAACAGAACTCATGAACCCAGTACCTTAAACACAAGAGCTGTGCCTAACAGGGAGTTTTATATGTAGAAAAGTAACAGGACAGCTCCCTCTTCTGGTCACATTGGAGTAGTGGAGTAGTGTAGTAATAAGCTAGTCACAGTAACACAAGTACAGTCAGGTAAAGAGTTTTGCTTATTGGAATAAGCAAAACCCTTTACCTGACTGTACTTGTGTCTAAATCTAAATAAAGATCTGTTCATATATTCATAGTCCTAAATGTATATGATGATGATATAAAAAGACATAAAGTCACTTAATTTGTGTAAAATGTTCAGTTTTCATGTGATCAACAAACACTGCACCAATTCTCTGAAGGACTTTAAAACACCTCTTTAGTCCTTATTTGTTGTCAGGATCGATATGAAATAATACAACTGGAATGATAATGGCAGTGCCCACAGCAGCTATATACCCGAATAAGGTGGATAAACACGAGTGAAAAGATACACTGGCCTTGTCATTGTCATGTTGTTTTGTGAAAAGGACTGTTACTGTGACTTACTACTGCACTACTACAATGTGACCAGAAGAGGGAGCTGTCCTTCTCTTTTCTACATGAGTTCTCTTTGTTGGGTTTTTGTCAATAATTAAACTCCATCACATATAATAGAACAAAATGTCAGGATAAGATTCAAAGTAAATAAATAAAAGAAAGTAAAAATAAATGAATTCACTTTTTTGCTGCTACTGCTGCAGTTTCTATTTAGCTACTATAACTCATTTGAAACTAAGGCCCAATCTGCATAAATGGGAAAAATATGGAATGCCTATTAGGCTTTATATGTACAGACACGAACAGCAGCTTCTTTTGTTCTCTTATTTTTGACCTGTCAGTGCAGTGATAATGCTGGTCGGGGTGGTAATAATAACAATAACAGTTATTGCTGTTGTGGTTAGTATTGTCATCCTTTTTTGTCTAACTAACTATCTAAATCAAAACCAGAATACCTGAATGTTTAACAGCTTTTAAGGAGTAAAATGAAACATGTTAAACAGTCCTTTGCAAAATGAAAAGTTTACAGCACCTGGTATTCAAATGTGATCTCCCATCCAAGTACTAACCAGGCCCGACCCTGCTCAGAGTCATGAGGTGAGACGAGCTCGGCCGTGTTCAGGGTGATATGATTGTAAGCGAACAATAAAATGGTGGGTAATGGATTTATTTCTACTTTAGGTACAAAGATATATTCTCAAGAAAATCCTGCTCAAAGTGTAAGTGACTGTTTGGAGACACACTTTGTGGTTTTGCTGTTTTTCAGTTGTAGCTGCAGTTCAGCGTTTCATTCTGCACTGGACTCTTTCATATGTTATATTTCAAACACTCAAGTGCACTGGTTTTGGTAGAACTACTAACCACAACAAGCAAGAACTATTATTTGTATTATAACTCACCCCAGCCACCATTCTCACTGCAACTCACAGTCTGAATCTGCACTTCATGTTTTATTTATTATTATTTTTTTATTTATTTTGGATCCCCATTAGTTATTACCACAACAATAATGATTCTTCCTGGAGTCCATTACAAAAACATATACTTTTCACATTTCACATACAAACTTTCTGTTAGTAAATATTAGTCGTAGTATAGTATTTATGAAGTTTATTGTACATATAAACAATATTACCACATTCAGTTTACACATACAGATAAAAAAAAAGTGTGTCACAAGTCTGTCACCCGATATATTTGAACATTTAATTACAATTTCTTTATTAAGTATAATTTGCTTTAATTTAGTTTTAAAAATATCCTCCTTTTGAATTTGTATTAAGTACAGAGACAGATGATTCCAAATGGATCTAGCTGTGTATCATACAGACACGATCTGTAGCCAGAGTCAGCTCATTGTAAAGGCACACAGAGAGAGTAACTTTGTTCAAAACTGAGCAAGTTTACAGCTCATTCTCTGTTCTCCTGTCAGACATGACCGTGTGAACTGCTCCATGACAGAACATGAAGTGATGCAGAGTTCAGCTGCTCTGTTCTGTGTAAGTGGAATTTAACTATTGAACAGATGATACCACCCTCTACTGCTCAGGGGAAGACCAAAGGCAACTTTATCAAATGGTGGAGAGGGAGCTGCAGAAAATAAAAGTCTGGTTTGATATTAATAAATTATCACTAAACATAGAAAAAACTCAATTTATGATATTTGCAAAGCGAAAAGTACAAAATCATGTACAAATTATGCTCAATAATACACCACTACAAAGAGTCTTTGAAAATAAATTTTTAGGAGTAACTATAGATCAAAATTTAAACTGGAAATCACACATAAATACAATTAGAAATAAATTATCCAAAGTGATTGCAATTATATATAAATATAGATATACCCTAGATAAAAACAGTCTTTTTATTATACATAACAGATGCAAGAATCATTTTTGGGGCCAATATTTATCGTGCTTTTTCTTTGTACTGGGGTGAGTATTTTTCTGTACTACCATTAGATTTGAGCTGTAGAGGGTTGAATTATGACAATGACTCATTACAGATACAAACTACTTCTAAGTGTTTCTTTCTTCATTTCACTTATTTATTGCAGTTCATATTATTAACAATATTGTACATTTAGAATACTTTCTGGGATAATTCTGCTCTGTGTCTATATGCATGTTTTGACTGTACCCTCCATGTGGTCTGAGATCTGGTCTGAGTCGTCGGACTGAGAGCTGGAGGCCAGGATCTGTCCTTCAGAGAAATGAGACGATTCCTCCTCCTCGTCACCAGCAGGGGGCAGCACCTCAGGGATGGGCAGGGACAACAGAGAAGGGAGAGTGAGTAAAAGTTTTTTATGAACACATGTAAAATAATGATCTACATGTTTTAGAGTTTAATACAAAGAACGCAAACAAAAGCATAATATGTATTCTTTTCGTTGTCACAGCATTAACAATTTTGAACTCAATTTTGATAGTTTTGAAAAGACACTCTTTATTTAGACCAGTGGTCACCAACCCGTCGATCTTTGCCGTATCACGGGTAGATCTCCAGCCTAAATTCAACAATTATGACTACAAAGTGACGAACTTGAATTTGCGGGATACGCAGACAAGCTGCAGTTCAAGGATTGACCACCGCATGTATGTTACTATTTAGCATGTGGCGCTGTCGGTATTATACCAGAAACAACGAAGAAGAATGAATGAAAACGAACTCCGCTAGCAAAGCGTAAACTTCGCAACTATGGCAGATGATCAGCGAAAAAAGCCCAAAACCTACCACTTTCATCCAGAATGGGAGGAAGATTTAATTTTTACTATCGTAAAGGACAAGTGTGTCTGCATGCTGTGTCTCCAAACACAAGCGTTTTTGAAAAAAGGAAACCTACAGCGGCATCACGAGACTAACCACCAAAAGTTTAAGGATAGCTGTCCACCAAAGAGCGCCATCCGACAGAAAAAAGTTGCCGAGCTGAAACAGACATTAAAAGCCCAGCAGCTTTGTTTCACAAAACCTTCCGCTCAGAACATGGCTGTTACAGAAGCATCGTTTCGTGTAAGTCACCTTTTGGCTCAACATAAGAAACCATTCACGGACGGCGCACTGTTTAAATAAGCCATGCTCATCACAGCAGAGACTCTTTTTGGTGAGTTTTAAAAACAAAGATGACATTCGGAGCGCATTGCGCTCTGTACCACTCGGGGCCACAACGGTGACAAGGAGGATAGAGTCACTGTCACAAGACGTGAACCAACAAGTGCTAAAAGACTTGTCACTTTGTGAATATTTTTCATTTCAATTGGACGAATCTGTGGATATTGTGGACACCGCGCAGCTTGTTTTTGTGAGAATGGCTTTTTCCGATACATTAACAAGAGAAGACTTCCTTACCTTGCTCCATTTAAAAGAGAGGACGAGAGGAAAGGACATTTACGCGGAGTTTAAACAGTACGTGTCTGACAACAACATCCCCATTCATAAACTTGTGCCAATTACAACTGATGGGGCTCCCGCGATGTGCGGCGTGCACAGTGGTTTTATCGCACTGTGCCGCAATGATCCCGATTTCCCGGACTTTGTGAACTATCACTGTGTGATCCATCAGCAGGCCCTGACTGGGAAAGCCGTGGACTTTTCACATGTAATGTCGCTAGTGGTAAAGTTGTAAACTCTGTTCGGGCAAAAGCGCTCCAGCACCGCCTATTTAAGAGTTTACTGGAGGAGCTTGACTCCGCGTACGGGGACCTAGTTCTACACGCAAATGTCCGCTGGTTGAGTCGGCGCAAAGTATTACAGCGGTTTGTGGATTTACTACCTCAGATAAAGACGTTATTGTCTACAAGAAACGGGGAAGTACAAGCAATTGTCGGAGGATGAGTGGCTACTGGACCTGGGATTTTTGACAGACCTGACTGAACTAAATGCTCTGAATCTGGAGCTCCAAGGAAAAGACAGACAACTGCCTCACATGATCAGCTCGGTGAACGCTTTTAAAGCCAAGCTGTATATGTGGGCAACACACCTGCAGAATGGGTGGCTGACGCACTTTCCCAACCTGGAGAACATGTCACAGGGCATTAAAAACAGAGACGCGTTTCACCCGGAGCAGTACTGCCACCACCTGGAGAAACTAGGTACTGAGTTGAGTATATTACGTGAAATTGATCTTGTGAGCTTTAAGCCATGTAATACAGTATGTTGTTACCGCCTCAAAAACATAGCAAGAGTTGTTTTTTGTTTCCTTCACCCATGAGTAATTCTTTATTACAGCTAGTAAGTTTTCAAGTTATAGGCTACTTTTTTACCTTTTGTTCAGTAAATAATAATGGAAATTCCAGGGCTGAAATCATGAAAATGATTCTAGTAAAGGTGTATGGAGTGTAAAAACACAGTGGAGCGCTTCCTGTGTTACCACATGACATTGCAAGGTGGAACAGAGTGTTTTTTGTTTGAGAGACAAACTCAGCTTAAATATGCAGGGGTTGTGTGTTAAACGTGTGAATGAAACAAAACACAACTCCAGGTATGTTTTTGAGGACGTAACAAAATTCTAACATGACTTAAAATTCACAAAAGTCAATATAGGACCTTTAAATACTTTCTACTTAAAAGACATCAGTCACTACACTTCAGTCATTATTTGGTGTATTCAAAAAGTCTCAATGTAAAATATAATAATTTAACTAGTCAACAAATACTAAAAAAATGGTTGCAGCCTTAAACTCACCAATGAGAGGAACGGTCCCATGTATTTTCCCCTCCTGCTCCGTCAAAGGCTGCAGACGGATCTGTCCCGAAGCCAGACGTCTGGTCGTCTGGTCCAGCCCAGGAACCTGGTACATCTTCACAGTCACCGTGCTCTGGATCATACAGTCCAAAAATGCCTGGTCCATCCGCACCACGTACCGAGAGGTGAAGCTGTAGCGTGGGCAACGGCCACTCACGAAAGTGGTGGAGTGGAGGTCACATAGGTGGAGGGTGTAGGCCCAGAAGGTGTAGGGCTCTGGGTCCGATAGAGATTGGAGAGCAGAGGGAGACAGGGACACATTGGAGATCTGAAGCTCCAGAACATTCTCCCCGGGCTCAAGATGGAGGCTCTCACTGAACTCCTCCGTCTCCTCCTCCTCGCCCACGTTGGGTTTGAAAACGTAAGCTTTCTCTCTCTCCTCAAACTCCGCCTCTTTCTTCTTGAGTTCGTCTCGGAGTAACTGAGCGTCTCCTT